GCATGCAAACCTACTTGTATAAGCTAATGATTATATATACATAAACTCAGCATTAAATGCATGTGGCCTCCCAATATGAATCCAGCACCCTGGTCCATGTCAAGTTCGAATGACTGAAGGAGGTAAGAAGAGGCTTTTCTCTTTTTTACAGACGGTGTGAGCTGGTATAGGCACTATCTGTACATAAACTGGTATAAACATAGACTGGTTGGTCCCATTCGTTGAACTTGGACTCTAGTAACCATACTAGCCATAAAGTACTCGTCACCGGAACCGCCTCAGTAACCACGAGGCTCCGCTCCTGCCTTCTGGCTTTCGAGGAGAGATTCAGGCCGTCGGATTTGTTCGCAATTGTTTTTCTTGCTCGAGAGGTGCAAAGGCGACGGCCGTTTGCTGTTCCTCTACCTACAGCTGGCGTTAGTGTTGTTCCGACACCCTGCGGCGAAGAAGGTGCCTCTGTCAGCCCTCAAAATGTTCAAGAACAGCAGCCATAGCTTGCTTGTTACGGGTTACAAAAAGGAACGAACAGTTCAAACAGTGAAAACACTGATTTACGACTCTCTGCTCCCCGATCCTCTGACCAGCGTCCGTTCCGACGACCGGTGCTTTCCCTGTTGGCACCTGTCAGCCGCCACTACGTGTGGACCGCGTGTCTAAACGGGTCTCTTGGTATCTTAAATGCAATTGCCACTAGAAATATCAATAATAAAAACGAAAACCGGTACCTCAGCTAGCTGCTCACAATATCGAGCTGACTGTGCTCCGCAAGGCTGGTGATGTTGAACAAGAGAGTGGCATCCCGTTGCGGTTATACGCAACTCCCGNACTGTGCTCCGCAAGGCTGGTGATGTTGAACAAGAGAGTGGCATCCCGTTGCGGTTATACGCAACTCCCGTGAATCGAATGCAATTTAGATGCGGTAAACACTGAAATAATACTTATCAAATAGATGATGCTTGCAAGACTAGATGTCTAAAAAAAGCAAACAGCGCTAGCTCGCTGAATACGGTGCACCCGCCCGCCTCTCCTGTTGTGGTTACCTCGCTTAGAGTGAACCGGCCACAGGCAGCTGTGGTGAGTGCAGTCCGGCGGGCGAGTCGATGAGTTCGCCTTCCCTCCAAACCACTTTCTTCTATTTTGATGCAAACAACGTTTCCAGTCTTTGTTCTTAAAAGCACTTGAAAACTGAGTTCACAAGCCGTGTGTACAGCACTTGCCGCCATTACAACGCCTGCGATCACCCGACCGCCCGCTGTGCAGCTCTGCTCTACTGCGGCTGCGTCGCATGGCATTGTGCGTTGCGGGTCTCTGTCCAGCGGTTGTAGCCTCTTCTTTGGGTTTTATGGTGTTTGTTAGCACTTCCATTTGTGAAACAGACAAGATAAGCCTGTTCATCAAGGAGTTCGGAACAGGGGATGACCAGCAAGTCCAGTCGTTCCTCGTCAAGGATTCCCCATCATCAACCGCCAGGTTGCCGCGCAACCGCAACGCCAACGTGGAGTTAAGGTTGTGTGTATAGCGGGTTTATTGGCCTAGTAAGCTTCTTCTCTTTGGTTTATAGTCAAACCCTCGGATGCAGCAGACAAATGCACCCAGGAAGAACGCAGTAAGCGCCACACCACCCACCCCCAGTTGCTTCTGCTGGCTGCGCACAGAGTCTGGCTGGCGGTGGGTCAGCTGGTGGTGATCGTCGACCGGGCGTTTCCTTTCATCTCCGGGTCTTCTTCGGAGCCTTTTCTCTTATTAGAGGTATTATATTGTCTTGAGATTCTAGTTTTATATTACNGTGCCAACACGCAAGCGCTGCGGGTTCAGGTCACTCGTTGGGGTGTCCAGCCTTCTAGGAGGAGTTTAAGAGTTCCGTTTCCTTTGAACTCTGTTTTATCGAATTAGCAGCTCCTCACACCGCATAATCATCAAGAGACGCGCCCTGCGTATCTGTGCAGCGCATATCAACCCACTGGACCGGCCGCCATCCGCATGGGGAGGGAGAGAGGAGGTAACGCACGCCACCAAACCAACAGCAACGCCGTTACATGTGTAGCAACTAATTTTCAAGGGATTACTTCAGGGATTCGCCTCTCGAATGCTGGAGCAACCATTGAGGGTTGCCATTGTGTTGCATCTCCCGCTTTTGCGGATGCTGTTTTCTCTCTAGGAGACGGGTGCTCAGCAGTCTCAACTGCTGCTGCACCGGCGGAGTAAAGAAGTTCCCTTTGTTTCCTCGCGATAATCGACCACCAACCACACCACTTCGATAGGTCGACAGTAGACGTTGGAGTTTTATTCTTACTTTTTCCTTCTTGGCGCGGCGTCAGCTCTTTGTTGTAGCGCCTTCTGCCGCACACACACACTACAGGACCCTTAGCAGTTCTCGTGGTTTCCACTCTGCTCTGCCGTGCTTGAATATGGTGGCCAACGGGGGAGGGGCCAGTAGTGGCCCTTCTCGGTCGATCCCACGGGAAGCAGCAACAGCGCCCGCTGCAGGGATGCAGACGGCGCAGGCTCGGGATGAGAGGCTGACGCGTGAGTTGGCGCTTATTGAGCTCGGCAGGCGGGTGTTGAGTGCCCGTGGGTCTTTACCGACTTCTTCTTCAGCTTCAGCTTCCGCTCCAAGCAGGGAGATGGAGAAGACTATTAGCATCAGGACGCCAGANGCAGGAAGCTTCGATGTAACTGCCGGCGGCTTGTCTTCAGAGGAGTTCGCTGCCGCTTTCGAGAGGTACATGGCCGGTTGCGTGCTGCAGCAGGCAAACGCGCTACAGCAGCAGCAGCAGCAGCAGCAGCAACAGCAGCAGCAGCAGCAGCAGCAGCATACGTCGTTTTCGTCAGCAGATACTGCAGCGCTGCTCTCATCAGCAGTGGACCTGTCTGGCCTCCGTGAAGGTGTGCCGATGCTGTCGTCCTCGATCGGGCGGAGCAGCGAGGCTGCTAGGAGTTCTTCCTCCTCTTCCTCGTCATCATCCTCATCCTCTTCCAGTCGGGGTTCCCCTGGGGCTTTTCAGCACATTGTGAACGCCGCGCAAATAGCAGCAGCAGAAGCAGCTGCATCTCGTAACTGCGGCGAGGCGGAGGGAGGCCGACCCGTGGGTGGTGGGCACGGCGCGGACTCTACAGATTTCCAGACTTTTATGGCGGAGTTTGCCTCGGGGGATGCAACTGACTTTGCCCTGAGAACCGGAGGAGGGAGAGGCCAGACTGGAGGAAGTGTAGCAGCAGCAGCTGCTGCTGCAGCAGCAGGATTGAGTACCAGGGATGCAGCAGCAGCCATATCCCACCAGTTCCGTATTGGGGCGGGTGGGGTACTGGAACAGGAGGGCGTGGTTAGAGGGAACGGAGAGGAGGACCTCCTCAGCACTTCTCTCTTCTCGCGTCTGATGCACGAGTGTCAGTCGCAAGGCGTCAGCGAACTCGATCTAAGCGGTGAACAGCTTGGGGGGAACAACGGGAGGATTGGAGCGGATGCCAGCGCGCGATTGTCTGCGGTGTCTGCTGAGATCCTCGCGTTTCTGCAGCAGCACCACCTCAACAAGCTGACGGAGAAGCCGGAGACGGCAAAGCGACTGCTAGCCAGTGCCAACAGCACTGCATGCAACAGCAACGTCAACAGCCGCAGAACAAGCAACTGCAGTCCTGGAGCGGACGACGAAGAGGAGGCGCGTGCATACAAGCGCCGCTTCTTAGAGATGCATCTACTAGAGCAGAGACGGGCAAGTTTCGCTAGCAGCAGCAGCAGCAGCGGCAGCAGCGAATTGAGGTTGATGACTACCAGCGGGGCCGGGCCACGAGAGGGGGAGGCCAGGGAGGGGGCTGCGGACGCTGGAGGGGCGGGAGGGGAGCGAAAGCCGAAGCCTGCTGGACATGAGATCGTTGTTAGTGGGGCGGTGGCCAGTGACTCGCCTTCGAACCCTTCTTCTCCTTCCTACTTAGCAGAGCTGCAGTTGATAGAACGCGTCGCTGGAGGGGATCCGTTCGCCCAGGAGGACGCCCTTGGGGGCACCTCTTTCAGGGGGCCTCTGGGTTACTACAGCGTCTGTGAGGGGGCCGGCAAAGACGAGAGCTCCAGCCAGAGGCTGTACCCGATAGTGCGTGGGGTGTCGCGAGACAACACCAAGAAGAGGTGGGCAGTGTACTGGAAAGGTTACAGACGGTACTTCTACGATAAGTTCTTCGAAAGCTGCGTTGAGGCGTACAGGAGAGCCGTGCAGTTCAGGCAACAGGCCACCACTGCAGCAGCAGCCGTCACGGCCACAGGAAACCCAGCACATCTGATTGCTGCGGGGCTACACGGGTCGCCGGGGGGAGGGCACACCAACGCCAAGCACCACCTNGCAAGCCAAGCGAGCGGAAGAAAGAGCAAGAATTCATCGCCTTCTGCAGGCGGCAACGGCTCACGGGACGATAGAACGGTGGTTTGCTTGTACAAGGAAGCAATCCTCTTCATCCTAGAAGACTTGAGGAACAACGTACTGGCCCAGTATATCACATCTACGGCGGCTATCAACGCCAGCGCCGCCGCGTCAACAGCCGGGCAAGCAATTCCAGGGGAGATGACAGCTGCAACGACGGCGAAGCGTCTGCTGGATCAGACGCTGATGATGCACACAAATGTCGTGGGGAATGCCACCTCCACTGCAGAGCTCCAGCCATCCCTCATGCTCATTGCCCCCTGCCTAGAGGAGTTGAAACTTCCCAGCCAACAGACGCCGCAGCAACAGTTGTCGCTTATCCAGTCCATCCTTGCGATGCACATCCAGCAACTTGTGTTGCTGTCGCGATACCTGAACAAAGGGACCGACGCCTTGCCTGAAGGGGAGGAAGCCGGCAGTGCCGGCGNAATGCCCCTGTTCATGAGGATCTGCAGGAGCAGCAAAAAGCTCCAGCAAGTGCAGGAAGCACGGTTGGCGTGCCCGCGTAGGTAAGTGCTTCAGGTAGTGGAGGCTCTACTTTTCCCAATTGGTTTGAGCTACAGAAGGCATCGTTGGGATGCTTCTGAACCACCAAATTCCGCCAGTTTAAAGAAGATGTTTGCAATGCTTGTCTCAGAGGGGACTTGCACCATCAACGGGTGTGTGCGTATCTGCGCTGCGCCTGATGGGTTTTATATAGATTATAAGGCGTGTTCGATTTACGCTAGCCTACCGAAGAAGAACCTGTTATATGCCAAGCCATTCACAGGCACAGGGCCGTGGGATTACATCACGTATATGTTCAAACGCAGTACTGCTGCCACACGCATTCAACGTGATGCAGTATGGAGATGCAGAAATGCGCCATATAGCGGAGAACAGATCATGGTTGGGGGGGAGGGGGTGGGGGTTGCTTTACAGGGGGTTTATGAACCTGGCAGCGCGTACTAAGTTCAAACGCCACGAATGTGACGTGGCTGGGCATGTAACCAACAGGAAAGGCCCAGCAGCGTCATTGGCTGACGTACTCACTTCTACTGCATTGTGGTAGTGACCGGCACGTTGCTTGGTTGACCACCAGTGACACTTCCACGAGCGGTGGAGGGCTGCAGCCACTGGTATTCCGAGGCAGTCTTGCACCCTCGGAGGTACAAGTGACTTGTGCGGTCGAATTTTGGACAAATGACAGGAATCCTTCCGTTTACTTTATGGTTAGCAGTTATGGTAGGCCGTGATTGATAAAGGCTATCAATANGACAGGAATCCTTCCGTTTACTTTATGGTTAGCAGTTATGGTAGGCCGTGATTGATAAAGGCTATCAATAAATTATTTAACACGGAGTTGTTTAAATACAGCTACTAGTTTTATTGTATGGTTATCTACATAGAAGGCTCCAAATAACCATGTTGAACGATATGGAGTTGGCGATACAAGTTACAGTAGCACCGCACAAGTTCAATTGTCACCATGGTAATGTATGGCCTATGAACTGTGATTTCTTGTACTATGGAGATTCAATCATTGGATATACAGTTACTGTTTTTACTAGAAGTACTTCAGATTCTTATGCCTCATTTTTTGTAGCACAAATAATAGCCCAGGCAAATGGATTTTCCCCGTAGATTAAGTAGATTTAGTAGAATTTATGTACGTCAACTAGAATGAAACAGAAGTACCGGTGGTCAACACGTCCCATTTGTGTGGGTTATTAATTGTTCTACAGAAAACGTAAAGTTTTACGCGGGTTTCGAGTAGTAGTAGTGACAAAACGGTAGTGGAAGTTTAGGTGGCTGGTTGCTCTGAATATCAGCACACTTAGCAATACGGATGTTCATGTGAATGGAACCGCGGAATATAGTACGTACATATTGAAGACATACTAAAGCTGCTACTGTGTTCGCGCTAGAAATAGTCATTTACGTGGTGGTCTATCAAGAAGCGTGAGCTGCTCG